GAACATAAGTGCCAAAGGTATGATAAAGACAAACTGGTTTTCTTTTAATTTCTTAAATACAACAACCATGTTCCACCCTTTCCTCCTGACTGGTACTCTGACCCCCACCCCAATTCTTCTGCTTAGCTCCCTCCTTGTCATCCTTCAGATTTGAGCTTAAATGTCACTTCCTCAGAGAGGTCTTCCCTGCTTCCCTGTGTAAAGGAGCCCTTTTCTGTTTATTTTTCCTCATAGCAATTTCATCACCTTTAATTACCTTGTTTATTCACCTTTTGAGTCCTTTGGTGTCTGACTTCTTCACTAGACTATAAACTCTATGAAGAAAAGAGTTACATTTCTTTTAACCACCATATACTCAGTCTCTGGTACAGTAAGTAGCACAAAGTAGATATTCAGTAAACATTTGTTTAATAAATACATGACAGTAATTACTTTTACTAATTGAACAGTTTGAACCAATATCATGGGAAATAATTATCTTAAAAGACTTGACTTCTAAAAAATGATGAAACAAGAACTTTCCTGAAAAACTATAACAACAGATTGTTAAAATGATATTTTGTGAAGTAGTCTGCAAGTTATTTTTAATTCAGCAAAGATTTATAATGGCTCTATTCACCCACCTTCCCAAATCTCTATGATGTAAAGAATATTTCTGCCTTGGTATATGAGGAAAACTTGAAAGAACAATTTTAACAATGTCCTATCTGCTTGGCATATAACATATCATTGGCAATAACTCACTTGATATATCTGTATGAACATATCGTGATAAAGCAAATCATTTTCAAGAGTAAATGAATCTCTGTACTTATCCATTGCAACTCAGAATCATTGCTACTGTTCAAACATATTAGGGTTGAGCATAGCATGAAAGTGAAAGCACAAGAAGGATTAGCATTCATAGATCTATTGATGTCTCATAATACTGGCCTAACCATTTTCTTTAAAATTTTCACAATTATGGTATATTTCACAGCCTGAAATATAATATTTAATATATAATATTATTGATGTGGAAGGTGCACAAATAATATACAATCATTATTCTAAAAAGAAACAGGTTCCAACTATCTTTTTTAAAATGTATTTTTATTTATTTTTAATGTATTTTTATTGCTATTACAGATCTCTCCCATTTCCCCTTTCGCCCCTCCTCCTCAACTATTTCTTTTGAATTTTATTTTATTTATTATTTTTTTAAATCAATCTTTATTGTTCACATTATTACAAAGGTTCCTCATTTCTTCCCCCCTCCACCAGGTTCCCACTCCACCCTCCACCCCCTCCCCATCCCCCATTGTCCTCATCCATAGGTGCACAGTTTATGTTCAGTCTCTTCTTCCCTCCCTTTCCCCGATAGTAAATCCCTTTTCAGATAGTAAATCAGTTACTTAGCATTTTCTCATATCAGTAATACCTCCACATGCCCAATGATACACTTCACACACAAGACATTTCCCAATAGGTCAACTAGCCTCATCCAGGCCCCACCCAAGGCACTCACAGATCAACACCCCAGCCCTATACTAACTCAACACATCCAGATCTAAGCCTTCATCACTTGATTCAGCAGACCCTCAAGTTCCCGCGAAAGTTTCCAGCCATGTCTGAGAGGCAGCCGTGGGGCAGGGGCAGGCGAGGAGCGAGCTGTTCCGGGCCTGGCTGCTCAGGGCCTGGCCTCTGTTGCTCTGGTTCGTTCCACAACCAGCTGCTCCGGGTCTGGTCACTGCCGCTCCCCACCTAGTTGCTCTGGACTTGGCTGCTGCTGCTCCGGGCCTGGCTGCTCCCGGCCTGGCAGCCGCTGCTCCGGGCCTGGCCGCTCCCGACCTGGCTGCTACGGGCCTGGCCGCTCCCAGCCCGGCAGCTGCTGCTCCGGGCCTGGCCGCACCCGACCCGCCTGCTCCCCCGGGCCTGGCCGCTCCCAGCCCGGCAGCCGCTGCTCCGGGCCTGGCCGCACCCGACCCGGCTGCTCCGGTCCTGGCCGCTCCCAGCCTGGCAGCCGCTGCTCCGGGCCTGGCCGCACCCGACCCGCCTGCTCCCCCGGGCCTGGCCGTTCCCGGCCTGGCAGCCGCTGCTCCGGGCCTGGCCGCACCCGACCCGCCTGCTCCCCCGGGCCTGGCCGCTCCCGGCCCGGCAGCCGCTACTCCGGGCCTGGCCACACCAGCCCTGGCTGCTCCCCCGGGCCTGGCCGCTCCCGGCCTGGCAGCCGCTGCTCCGGGCCTGGCCACACCCGACCCGGCTGCTCTGGGCCCGGCTGCCCCGGGCCCGGCCGCTCCGAGCCTGGCCACTCCCGACCTGGATGCTCTGGGCTTGGCTACTGCTGTTCTGGGTCTGGCTGCTCCCACCCAGGCTGCTCTGGGCCCGGCTTCTCCGGGCCCGGCCACTCCGGGTCTGGGTGTTCCTGGACTGGCCACCCTGGGCTTGGCCGCCTCCGCCTCATGCCTGGCTGCCACTGCCCCAGGTCTGGCTGCTCCAGTGCTGGCTGTTGATGCTCTGGTTCTGGCTGCTGCTGCTCTGGGGCCTGGCCGTTGCTGCTCCGGGTCTGGCTGCTACTGCCTTGTGCCTGGCCACTCTAGGCCTGGCTGCTGCTGTTCCAACATTCTGTCCTTTTTTTTTTCTTTTTTTTCTTTTTTTTCTTTCTTTTTTAAAAAAACAACAACACGCATTTATGTTGCAATGTTGGCTGTTGAGTTGAGTTCTGACTTAGTCTTTGATTTTTCAAGAGCTTTTTTGTATTCTTTCTTAAGTAATTTTACTATCTTTTGCTCTCACTTGATTTCTTCACATTGAGAACTTCTTTGGTTTCTTCCTCCTTGTCCTGGGAGCTCAGCAGGTTGGCCTGTGGCACCCCTTTGTTCTCCGTGGGCTCCTGCACTGTTTCAGCCTGTTGCCGGGGACGGCGCCGCCCAGGAAGCAGCCCCCGGCCTTGGCTCCCTTGCCCGCGCTCAGAGGTCGAAGGCTCAGGGGCACCCACCCCCCCAGGGGCCCCGTCGCCCAGCTCCTTGCTGGTTCCCTGTTGGCCCGCGTCCAGCAGGGGCTCCCGCTCCCCGCCGCGTTCCCCCAGCCCGGAGCCTTTTTTCTCCTTCCCGCTAGGGGAGTCCAGCATCAGAGTCAACAGACTGTCCTCTGCGCGCAGTGTGCGCGAGTCCGGGGGCCCGGCCTTTCGCTGCTCTCCCCAGACTTCACCTCACAGCCTTGTCTCCCTCTGCCTGAGGCTGGGTCCCCAGGGATTGGCCCAGATCTGGGGTTCGGAGCAGTCTGGACTGAGGCTCAGCACCACCGGAGGCCTTGTTTCTTCCGGCTAGGGTAACCCAGCATCAGAGTCAACATTCAGTCCTCTGCGCGTGCATTGCGCGCGACTCCGGGGGCCCTGCTTTTCGCCGCTTTTCTGCCTCACAGCCCCGTCTCCCCCTGCCGGAGCCTGGGTCCCCAGGGTCTGGCCCATAACTGGGGCTCAGCGCTGCAGGTTCGGGGGGCTCAGCGCTGCCGGTTTGGGGGTTCAGCCCAGGCTGGGGGTTTTATTTCCTTCCTGCTAGGGAATGCCAGGCAGCACCCAGCCCTTTCCTCCTCTCCGGCTGTGACCTCTCCGTGCGCGTGTGCTGGCGGGCGCGCAGTATGTCTCCGTACCTTAGGCTTTTTTTCAGCTCCTCTGATTTTCCTTCTGGTTTTCTCTTTCCTTCTTGTAGAATTTTCAGTCAGTTGACAACCTGTAGCTCTGGGCAATGTCCACTCTACATTTTAGTTGTATTCCATTGAAATTGTTGTGTGCTGCCGCGGTTAGATGTCTACCCGAGCAGCCATCTTGGATCTCCTCTTCTTTTGAATTTTAGACTTATTGATAATTAAGAATGTTCATAGTTAACCTAATAGACAGATTGTAACTTTGAATTTAGCCACTGAAATCAAGATAAACTGTTTGTTAAATGCATCTCTTTAGGAAAACCTCACAAAAGATTGTTTAGCAAGGCTATTTAAAACAATTAAAGACTATGCTTATTTCCAGGCTATAGCAAGAGAAATTCAGTTTGTTTGGAGATTGATTTACCACTACATTTTGGATTGGAGGAGAGTCTCATTATGATATTCAATTTAGCAATTAAATTACAACTTTGAAAGTGAGTTCTGCATGGCCTGAGATATGTAGAAACTAATGTGAAAATAAGTAACTATAGAGACAACAGACCATCTCATACACCCAGTGTAAATCTTAGGACAATCTAATAGAAGCCACAATTGAGAATGTTAAACTCAAAAATCCTGTAGCCTCTGGGCTTACTATATGGTTTTGGACTCCCCCTAGTGGTTCAAACTTTTGGTGTTTTAATTGCTATTCTTCAGGTCACAGAATCACCAAATTTATTAAAAACAAATTAAAAAAAAAACAAAAAAACTACACAGCTCCTATTAGGCTGATTTTCCACAAAGAGAAGACTGTGTTAATGAATGGTATAATAAATGTGGATATTAAGATAGTTGAAATAATAGTGTTGCTGCAATGGTCTGAAGAGACATAATTGGATTTCACTCAGACTGAGAAAGCCAGTTATAGTTCTGCTGAGAGTGTGTGAATAAGAGCTGAAGGCTCTGGAACAGGATTCTTGGTTGCTCTAAGGTGAGAACTGGACCTTTTAGAGAAAGGGTGAAGTGACTATTTCCTATAATGCATATAACATACAAAACATGTTAATCAAGTGTTCATGTTATTGGTAAGGCTTCCGACCAACAAAAGGCTATTAGTTAAGTTTTGGGAGCTGGCAAAAGTTATACAATGATTTTTGACTGTGTCTCTGTGTTGGCACCCTTAACTCTAGTGTTGTTCAAGGGTAAACTATTTGCATAAGTAGAAAAACAACAATCCCCCAGTAACTTGGGCACTCTATCTGCAATCTCAATTTTGAAATCTTATAAATTGGGTTTGTACAGATCCCACCGCCCAGGATCAGCAAGCTACGAGCCCACCAGTTTCGGTGCCCATTTGGACTTTCGCTGAAGCAGAGATGGCAGCAAAGGCAGCATCATCAGGAACTACCATGCCTTGGTCTTGTCATCTAGTGTACGCAAGATACTGGCAACATTATCACCAAGCAATGGCTTGGATGCGGAGCCACCAGAACGCCTATCGGAAGGCCGTCAAGTCTTATTTCAGTTCTCCACGGTACTTCACTCTGGGAGATCTGCCCCAGAGCTTTCATGCTAAGAAGGGCGGATCTCCTCAGTCCTTCTGTGACCATCACTTGGCCTCCCAGGGCTCCCACTGTGGTTATTCACATTCTCCAAGGTCTGGGCACCATCCTCATGACAGCACCAGCGAAATCCATTCTTGGTCCACAGAGGAGGCGACGGAGACTGACTCAGATGCTGGGGAGCAGGACGACCTGAGCAGCATGGGGATCACGGAGGAGCTCCGCCAGTACTTTGCGGAGACGGAGAGGCACAGGGAAGAGCGGCGGCGGCAGCAGCACCTGGACGCGCAGCGTCTGGAAGACTATGTGGACGCCGACCACGACCTGTATTACAAGACGGGCCGCTCCATGGAACCCCCCTCCGAGAGCCCCCGCGAGCGGCGCCAGGCCGAGATGAAGCGCCTGTACGGGGACAGCGCGGCCAAGATCCAGGCCATGGAGGCCGCAGTGCAGCTGAGCTTTAACAAATACTTTGACCGGAAGCAGCCCAAGTACTGGCCGGTCATCCCCCTCAAGTTTTGAGCCCTGGACCCCCAGCCATCACCTCTTCCTCTGGGATTTGCTCCTTTATCTGGCTCTGTGCATTTTCTCAGGGGCTTTGTCCTGAGAAATAGCATGTTCACCAAAGTGCCAGTGAGCCTGTCACGGGATGGGGGTGGGGAAGGGGAGGGATAATGTAATATATCATCCTTTTTTAAGCAGCAGGGCGTGTATGTTGTTGCCTGCATGAGAGATTTTCCTTTGACATAAAATGACCATTTCATATGCAGAAACAAAAACAAAAAAACACACCAAAAAATAAATTGGGATTGCAATGAAAGTGGGAAAAATAGAAGTAGAAGGATAAAAACAAGGCTTATTTTTTTTATTTTGAATATCCGTAGCTCTTTTTGATGTGCAGAATTTTAAAAGATAGGAAATGTATTCCAGCTGATTATAGTCATTCCTTGTGGCTACAAGAAAGGAAAGGTGGAAAGAGAACAGCAGGGAGTTTTATGTAGACAGGCATCACCTCTAACACTGGTATGACTGTGCCCCAAATAGACAACAATCACGAATCACATGAATAGAAGAGGTTACAATTAAGTTGTTGTCAAAGAACATTAAAGGGAGTAAATCAGGAACCTGAATAGAATGTATTGATGTGCCACACTACGTCAGATGGCCTGGTTTTCCTTTTTCAAGGGATTTAAAATGCTACCCTGGACTTCTCTCTCGCTATGCTGGCGTTTGGCGTTTTTCTACATGAAGGACATGCCTGAACCTTCCAAACAGGCTGGAACCCCGGGCTGTTGAAGGTGCCACGGATGTTATTTCTCAGGTACTTAAAGTCACCTAAGACATTCGTACCAAAGCACTCCAAAATACCGTGTCCATGGGGACAGGAGAGGTTTCCTCACAAAACTGTCAGCAGTCAGGCTGACATCCTTTGCGCAGGTGGTGATGCTCCCGGAGAGCCTGGGAGAGAGTGGCTATGCTGCTGGCTGGCTCTCCACACCACCGAGCCCTTGGACCTTACAACAAGTGAAGTTAGCTTCCGCTGCCTCCCAGACGCCCGTAGCGATTTGTCCGTAGAGCTCTGGAATCGCCAGTATTTCATCAAACCCGACACCACAGCAAACCATTTCTCCCAGGCCCAGAGCATCGTCTAACCTCCCGATTGGCCCGTTGGCCTCCACTCAGGCCGGTGACTCTTCCCTGGCGCATGCGCGTCTCCTGCTTCCGGCCGGGTGCGCGGTGCGCCGGCCTTTCCGGCCCGGGTGAAATCCCTACCCCGCTCTCCTCGGCTGGGTTTCTCTTCCGAGTGCCATGGCTCCCGACTCGGGCCCCCCGCCCGAAGGGCCCACCTTAAAGCTCCTACCCGCAGACGCCCGGGACCGGGGCACCCAGCGCTGTCGCCTGGGCCCGGCGGCCCTCCGCGCCCTGGGCGCGCGCCTGGGCTCCGCGGTGACGATCTCGCTGCCGGACGGCGGCTCCTGCCTCTGCACCGCCTGGCCGCGGCGGGACGGGGCGGACGGGTTCGTGCAGCTGGATGCGCAGTGCGCGAGCCGCGGGTCGGCGGCCGGCACGCCCGGGCCCCGGGGGAGCCTCAGCCTGAGCCGCATCCGCCTGGTGCCCTGCCCGCCCCTCCGGCGCCTCACCGTGTGGCCGGAGCTGCGGGAGCGGGTGGGCGCGCCCTCGGCCCCGGACCCGGCCGCTGTGCTGGAGGCGGCGCGCGAGCTGCTGCGGAACCGGCCCGTCTCCCGGGGCCACGTGCTGGCCGCTCCGCCCGGCGCCCCGGGCCCGGTGGCCGCCCTGCACATCGTGAGCGGGGCGCCCGCCCCGGACCCGGCCGGGCTGGTCACCCCCCACACCCTCGTCAGCCTCAGCGGGGAGCCGCCGGCGGAGCCGCACCCGCAGCCCGAGGTGCCCCTGGGGGGCCTTTCGGAGGCGGCCGACTCGCTGCGGGAGCTCCTCCGCCTGCCGCTCCGCTACCCCGGCACCCTGGCCGCCCTGGGGCTGGACGTGCCCCGCGGGGTGCTCCTGGCGGGCCCCCCGGGGGTGGGCAAGACCCAGCTGGTGCGCGCCGTGGTCCGGGAGGCGGGCGCGGAGCTGCTGGCGGTGAGCGCGCCGGCGCTGCAGGGCGCGCGGCCCGGGGAGACGGAGGAGAACGTGCGGCGGGTGTTCCAGCGCGCCCGGGAGCTGGCCCGCCGCCGGCCCGCCCTCCTCTTCCTGGACGAGGTGGACGCGCTGTGCCCGCGGCGGGGCGGCGCGCACCAGGCCCCCGAGAGCCGCGCGGTGGCCCAGGTGTTGACGCTGCTGGACGGCTTCGGCGGGGACCGCGAGGTGGTGGTGGTGGGAGCCACCAACCGGCCCGATGCTCTGGACCCCGCGCTGCGCAGACCTGGAAGGTTTGACCGAGAGGTAAACGGGCCAGGCGGGTTACCCCATTGCCCCTGGAGCCTCGTTCTCCGCAGGCCCCGGTGGGCTTCCCCGAGGCGTTTGCCATTTAGGTTTGGAACTCGGGGAGGCTGGATTGGGCCTCTTTGCAGTGCAAAGAACGCATTGGTTTTCTGTCCACGTATGACCTGCAAGCCAGGACGTTTCTCCAGGGTCACATTGTTCAGAGAAGCAAGGTGCTCGAGCATTGTTAAGGAAAAGTTTTGTTGTGCAAGTCCTGAAGAATACTAATCCGGTAATACTTTTTAGGGGAAGTAGGTTTGCTTACAGCGCATTAAACTCTAATAAATTTAGAATGAGAATTTAAAGTAAAAAGCTAGCCTCGAGATATAAGTGTGATAAAATAAAAGGGTGAAGTCAGGGAGTAACTAAATCAGAGCAGGTATAAATTCACCTGGATTTATTCCTTGCTTGTGAGGATGCCTGCATCCTACCCTGAGTTGCCAAGGAAGGTTGAGTATTCAAAGCTGACCTGTTTTATCGGCTTCAGTCTTAAATTGATACTTGATTTCTGTTAAATAGTTTGAATAGTGTTTAGTTTAAGTGATGTTTGACTTGGTGGTAGGATTCTAAAGAGACAGTTGATAATTGCATATTTTTCGCTTAATTGTTCTGAACTTGAGTGGATTTCACTAACTATACTACTTTCCCAAATCACATCCATAAGGACTGGGCCCTAGACTATCGTGGTTTATTGTATCACTGACTCCTAGAAATTGGTTCAGTCTCAAAAATAACAAATAAAAATTTGTTAAATGACATGTAGTTTTCATTGTGCAACTTTTTAGCCAGTGTTACTCTTCTGAAAAATGATGTTCAGAATCTGAGGTATGCTTAAGGGTACATAGTAATAATTCCTAATTTGCTCACTAAATTATTGTACATGTTTGTGAGGATATAAAATAATACATTAGCCCAGCCGGGTGGCTCAGTTGGCTTCCCAGACCCAAAAGGTTGTGGGTTTGATCCCTGGGAAGGTGCACACTGGATGCAACCAGTCAATGTTTCTCTCACACATCCATGTTCTCACCCTCTCCCCCTGCCTCTTTCTCTAAAACCAATAAAAATATCCTGGGTGAATATTAAAAAAATAATGACATTTGAAGCTACAAACATTATTTTCTGCTTTGCATTATAGGTTGTCATCGGGACTCCCACACTTAAACAAAGAAAGGCAATTCTACAGGTGATTACTTCAAAGATGCCCATCTCTAGTCAAGTGGATTTGAGCCTCCTTGCGGAAATGACGGTTGGCTATGTTGGCGCAGACCTGACCGCACTCTGTAGGGATGCTGCCCTGCACGCTTTGCTTCATAGTGAGAAGGTAGGAAACTGATTTATAACCATGTATGTTAATTTTTTAAATTAAGATAAATTAATTTGGGGGATTAAAAAAAAGTGGTAAGTATATTTTCTTGGGACTTTTGATACCTTTCACAGCTCTTTCTTACACATGTTTTTACATTGAAACATTTAAGAATATACTCTAGCTATGATGCCCCTATAGCCTTGAAAATATAAGTGTATGTTTCCTACAAACAAGAATTTTAACCAAAGTACAGTGATCAAGATGAGGAAATTAACACTGACAACATACTTTTACTAAATCTATATCGACTTTATTCAAATCTTACCAATTGTCTCATATTTCATATAGAGCAAACATTTTAAAGGGAAAAACCAAAATACTATTTTTAATCCAGGATTACACACTGCATTTAATTGTCATTATTTTTTAATCTTTTAAAATCCCACCATTTTTCAGTCTTTCTTTTATGACTAACTTTTTAAGAGTATAGGTCAGTTATTCTATAAAATACTCCTCAGTTTAATGTTTTTTTATTATTTGATTCAGGTTTTGCATTTTTGGCAAAAATATCAAATGATATTGTGTTCTCACTGTATCTATTAGGTAACTGATTTCTTGGATAAGGTGGTATCTATGAGATTTTTCCATTGTCATAATACTATTTCCCTTCCTTATTAATAAGTATAGGGAAAATAACCCTTTCTAACTCAGGAAAAGATTGGGCATCTGTAATTTTAAAAATTTGACTTTGACATTCAAGTCTTTAATTCATGACTACCTTTCTTAAAAATATTTAGAATATTAGCTTAAATACAATAGTCTTGAGAAATTACGGATTGAGAAATCTGTTTACTTTGTATGTAATAAGTAATCCTGACTTTCTAAACCTCTGTAGAAAAAAATTAATTTCATCATGCTAAGGATTTGGAGACAAAGTTTATAAATCTCTGTTGTAATGGTAATATTGTCCTTTGATCTTATAATTTTTAAAACCCAATTTAAACTGTAAAATGATGACTTACCCTATAGGATCTCTTTACCTAGATAATTTGTATTCTTCCTTATTTCCTTTTCATATACATTTACTCTTACATTGAAGGAGGGGAAGGAGTTACATGAACTTAAGGAGTTATATAAGTTATATTAACTCATCTAAACTCATCTTCTGAGTTTAGAACCAAAACTGCTTGAAGATTTAATGACAAATCCCACGTTTAAAGGTGTATTTTGCCTGTTGAGGGGATGAAGAGAATATCAGGGCATGGGAAAGGAGATTTACATTTAGGATTCCTTTGCTTTGAAGTTCCAGGTTTGACCTTAAGCACCTTGGCTTAGGTGTGCCAGCCAGCCGCTGTCATCCTAGGGAGGAGCCCAGTGCTACTTGAGGAGGGGCCTGCTCAGGCATAGTTACCACAGTGATGGCTGAGTTCATAAACAACCAGGGGAAGTGGAAGAAAGAAAGGCAAAAAGGAAGAAGGGACAGAGGCATCTGGAGAGGTACTGGCTCCATCTTTTCCTCCTTTTCCCCTCCAGGCAGCCGTGGGGCTGCTGCTGCCTCTGTCTGTGCCAGGGCAGACCTGGGACACATTAACGTTGTTCACATTGAAGTTATTATTAAAAGATGGGAAATATAATTTAACACATGCACATATACATATAGAGGGAAAAGAATTTTATCTGCCTGAGAGGATTATGAGAAGCAAGTGAAATAATATATACATAAGTGATCTTGATAAAAGATGGGATGTTCAAGTGTCAGTATGTATTACCTAAAAATTAATTAGTATGCAGGTACCCAGCATCTAATACTGCCAATCAGTTAAAAATTATTTTTTAAATTATTTAATAGTGTTCTTCGTAAGAAATTAAACAAGATAAAAAATTGTAAAGAAAGTAAAGATTGCCTAAAATCTTTCCCAGAGATTATAATTATTAATATTTTTTAAGGAATGCTGTTCAGAATTGCTCTGTACATATATATATTTATATAATCTTACATAAATGAAATAAAATAGTTATTGAAAAATGGGAATTTTTGGACAAGTAAATGTTTAGAATTTGATATAATAGGGCAAGTACTTAAAAAAATACAGATATTACAAATAGAAATATGAGTTTTTAACTCTAACAAAAAACTTGCTTCACTAGAATGATTAAGGAAATTGCTTTTCAAAATATAATCTTAGAGTAAATGTGGACTTTCTTAGCATAACATAAAACCTAATAGCCAAAAATGAAATGACAGAGAAACAGTTCAGGAGAAAATGGGTAATAAGGTTTGCACAGGATTACAAACAGCCAATGAACATGAAAAATTCTCTCTAAAGACTAGTCTTTTTCAGTTCTTAACTTTCTATTTTGAAGTAAATAAAATTTTAGGGAGAGTTGCAAGATAGGTAACTCCTGTTAAATCTTTTATCCAAATCCACCAGTTTTTAACGTTTTACCTAATTAGCTTTATCATTTTCTCTTTCTCTGCATGTATGTATTTTTTCAGAATCATTTGAGTTGGGTTGCATACATATTTGAATGTCTGTTTCCTGACAACAAAAGTATTTTTATACAATACTATAGTATGGTTAAATATAATCATTATATTCTGGAAATTTGATATTGATACAAAATGTTATCAATTTTACAGTCTACGTGCTGATTTTGGAAATGGTTTCAATATTTTTAGCATTTTTTTCTTCAGTAGAGAATTTAGTTCAGAATAATATATTACACTTAGTTTTTATTCTTGAACACCTCCATGGCCTTTTTATTTTTTGAGAGAGATATTTGCATTGACATTTTTTAAGGATGCGGATCAGTGATGTTATAGAATGCCTCTCAGTTTGAGTTTGCCTAAGGTTGCTTCATAGATTCAGGTTATGCATGGCTGTTGGGAATACTACCTTATGTCATGGTGTGTCCTTCTTTGGGTAGCAGTAGATTTCCACCATCCCCATTGGTAATACCACTAAGTAGAGGCTGATGTGACCATCCAGTCCAGGTTTTGTTCAGTTTCTCACTATAAAGCTGCTATATTTCCCTTTGCAACTAATACATCTGTGAGGTGACCCTTTGAGGTCATGCAGATATCCTGCTCTTCATCAGACTTTCCCTCCCATAGATTAGACTCCATTCTTGCTCAAAGAAGCCTTTACTATGATGGTTCCAAAAAGTGATTAAATTTAAATAGCACAATTCTTAGTCTCATTTCCTCTGTCACATTGGGAGAAATTTAAAAGTTTGGTAATGTCCAGTGCCGGAGAGGTTTGGGGAGAACAGCTAAGTATTCATTAGTGCAGCTTTGAGGACAATGTGGTAATAGCTGTCACAACTATAAATGTACACACTCTTAAATCCTGTCATTCTGCTTTGAGGAAATTACATAAAATACTTGATATGTAGAAGTGAGATAGAAAAAAAGGAGTGAGGTAGAGTTCTAGTTGACATGAAAAGATTTCTAAGTTTATTTTGGTTTTTTTAAGATATATTTTATTGTTTTTTTTTTTACAGAGAGGAAGAGAGAGGGATAGAGAGTTAGAAACATCGATGAGAGAGAATCAGCTGCCTCTTGCACACCCCCTATTGGGGATGTGCCAGCAACCAAGGTACATGCCCTTGACCAGAATCGAACCTGGGACCTTTCAATCCACAGGCCGAAGCTCTACCCACTGAGCCAAACCGGTTTCAGCAAGATTTCTAAGTTTTAAAAAAAAAGTACAAATTCATATGTGTGCTGTGGTCTCCCATTTGTGCTGTTTGAAAGGATATGCTTATTATTATAAAACATACTAGGAATACACAGGAGATTTGACATCCTCACGGATGATTGGGGGGAGAGGTTCTAGTTTTTTTTGTACCGTATGTATAAGTTTCTTTATAAAATTCAAAAGAAGTTTTAAAAAGTATTCCAAAAATCTCGCCTCACTTTTGGTTCTGCTTTTTTTTGGGGGGGTGCTTTTCTTCAGAACCAGGACAGTCCGATGATTGATGAAACAGACTTCTTTGAAGCTTTTAAGAAGATTCAACCTTCATCGTTTCGAAGTGTCATTGGACTGATGGACATTAAGCCTGTTAGTTGGGAAGAGATTGGTGGCCTTGAAGATGTAAAACTGAAGTTAAAACAGGTGAGATGGAGAATCTGTTGAAGCCAGTGGAATATTAAATGTAATGCTTTTATGATGAAAACACGCTACACTGAAACAGCTCTTGCTACCATCACTATTTTGATCCTCACATTTAAATCCAGTGATCACTTTTCAGTCCTTATTTAATTGGACTTCTATAGGCATCATATACTATGTTTCACAATTTTCTACCTCATCCTCTTATTGTTTTTTTTCTTTGAAGAGTTTATAATCTAGAAGAGGGGTCAGCATACTTTTTCTGCAAAGGGCCAGATAGTAAATATTGTGGGCCATACAGTCGCTGTGGCAACCACTCAACTGCCATCGTAGCACAGAAGCAGCCACAGGCAATGCACAATGAGTACTTGTGTTCTGTCGAAACTTTATTTATGGACACTGAAATCTTATAATTTTCACATCATAAAATATACTTTGGATTTATTTTCCAAGCATTAAAAAATACAAAAATGATTTAGTTCATGGGCTGTACACTCTGCCCAGGGACTGGTAAAAGCACAACATTATAATAAACAGTCAGCATGGCCTGGAAGGCTACTTGATACTGGTTTTCACAGTGGATGTGTTGAGGTCATAGTCTCCAGACCCTCTTGCCTGCATTGCAGGTTCAGAAGTTGATTTTGCCAGCTTACCATCTGGTGATCCTGCTTAAGGAACTAGGTTTCTCTACACATAAAAAAGCCTGACTTACCAGTATAAGTATCCGTTATCACTTATTCATCTTAACTAGGAGCTATGGATCTACAGGGTCCATGGATAAACACATTTGTAATATGCCCTGTTTTTTAATCATCATTGCCACTTAATCTTCACAAAACGTCACAAAAGCTTTTCCTGTTGAAAGCTCTTCAGCTTTGAGAAGTTAAGCTTTCCTTCCTCCCTGAACACTCCTTTCCCGTGCCTTAAATGTTAGTGCTCCATGCTCCCGAGAGTCCTCTTTTTGCATTCTGTGAGTGAGTCTGTGATCTCAATGTCCAAGGCTCCAACTGTCCCCTGAAAACTGTTAGCACAAAAATCTTTCTATCCTGCAGATGGTCATTCTGATTATCAGAAGTACTTAGCTGCCTGCCTACCAGATAACTTCCAGGGATCTCACACACAGCTTGTTCAAAGTCCAGCTCACACCTGAATTCCCTGCCCCAGGGAAGACAGCCAGCCATCCCATCCCCACATCAGAAACCTGTCTTCTCAATGGTCGTGCCCTGCATGCACAGAACTTCCCCTCTGGATTTAGAACTTAGTCCCTGTGTAAAATACAGTTACATTTTATGTTTTAAATCCATCCCTTCCCCATCATCTCCTATGACACATCCAGCCTTATTATTTCTGTAGTCTGAATCAATGCAGGAGAATTTTAATTGGTTTCCCTGCCTCTAGCTTCATTTCCTTCCAGTCACTTTACATACTGCTTCCTCAGTGTTGCCTAAAACTTTTAAGGCTCATTGTCATCTGACTCCTCCTTGTCAACTCTTTTGCTCCTTGCTTCTCCCATCCTCCCCTCTGTTCCTGCTTACTGTTGGCGAGATGAATTAGTTGGTTTCGTGTCTCTCTGTATATATTGTTTCTTCTCCATGGCTTTCTCTGGCCTGGTTGTTAGTTTACAAGCCTGTCTCCCCAGCTGGATACAGAGGTCTTGGCTTATACATCAGTAGTTAAAAGCTTCTGCCCTTGACCTGCACTGCGTATGGTCAGTCTCAGCTCTGCCTCATTAGCAATCAGCTCTGAGAAAGTTACTTAACTTTTCTAAGCCTTGGTTTCAAATCTGTAAAATGAGGATGATAAAACTATCTGCCTAAAGGGTAGTGAAGCTTTATTTACTCTCCAGTTAACATTTATTGAGTGCCTACTTTGTGAAGGTGTCATTCTAGGTGCTGGGGATTTAGAGGTGACATTGGCTTATAGTCTAGCAGGAGCAGAATGACAGACCAAACGTGGAAAAATAATAATCGAGATAGTACACGAATAAGTGCTCCAAAAGGAAAGGAAGGCAATAGCGTAGAATGAGTAGGAGGAGGAGGTCTGCTTTGACTAGAGTGGTTAGGGAAGACTTCTCTAAGGAAATGACATTTGAGCTAAGACCTGAATGATGAAGGGTATCCACACAAAGACCTGAGGGAGAGTACAGGCAGAGAGAATAACAGGGTAAGGCCCTGGGATGGGAAGGAACTGGCGTGTTGGGATTGTCAGGTTATATAAGGCCTTGTAAGCAGTGGTAGGTAGGGAGTTTGAATTGGAATGTATTCTAATTCTGATGGCAAGTCGTTGAAGGATTTTATGAAGGCAGTGATGTGATCTGACTTAGATTATAAGATCCCCAGCTGCTGAGTATGCGTACCTGAGAATTATTGGAGAATTGTTGAAGGAATAGATACATTTACTGAAGTACTTGATCTTTTATTGTTACACTAAAATGACTATCTCTTTTTGTATACTTAGAGCGTCGAATGGCCTCTGAAATATGCTCGTGAGTTTGTTAGGATGGGCCTGACCCAGCCCAAGGGAGTTCTCCTGTACGGCCCCCCTGGGTGTGCGAAGACCACCCTCGTGAGGGCCCTGGCCACCAGCTGTCATTGCTCCTTTGTGTCAGTGAGCGGAGCTGATCTCTTTTCACCTTTTGTTGGAGATTCAGAAAAACTCTTGTCTCAGGTTTGTTGGTTTATTTTCCTCCACGTAGTTAAGTTTACTTTTGATTTTCATTTCATGCCTAAGGATAAACTTTTTTAAAAATGTAAAAGGCTTTTTATTACTAGAGGCCTGGTGCATGAAATCCATGCAAGGGGCTCGGCCCTTGCAGCCCTGGCTTTGTCCAGAAGGAGGTCTGGAAAGTCCTTCGGCTGTCCAGTCTAATTAGCACATTATACTTTTTTTATTATAAATCAGAAAAGTTATACATATTTGTTTATAGAAAATATAGAAAAGTATAAATAAATACTTCATAATCCCTCCACCTACATTAAAATTTTTTTTTTGTCTTTTTATTTGCTTGGGCAGAAGATATTGGGTATCTTTATTGTGATTTTTTTTTTAATGTAACATCACTTTTAAAATTCCATAATACTGAAAATTATTTGAAAACATGACTTTTAACCTTTACATAATACTCATTTTTTTTTTATTTGTTCCCCAATTTTTAGGCATTTAGAATCTTTCTCTTCTTTTTACATTGTAAAAATAGTAATGTAAAAGAAAACACATTCATCTGGGTAATGCATCATATATAGCTTTTTAATATTTTTATTTTCCTAACAAAAGGTATTTCGACAAGCAAGAGCAAACACTCCAGCAATTGTGTTTTTGGATGAAATTGATTCAATTGTGGGTTCGCGATCAGTCAGCAACACAGGATGTAATGTTCAAGAGCGTGTTCTTTCTGTTCTCCTGAATGAATTAGATGGTGTTGGACTGAAAACTATCGAGAGAAGAGGAAGTAAATCAGATCAACAGGGTAAATACAAGGAGCTGAAAAAAAATGAAGAGGTATTTATTAGCCAGATCCCACCAAAACTCTAGGCCCACATTGAACAGATCTACACTAGCTTGTCCCGAGCTGGCTTCATCTCATAGGCGGGATTATATCCCTCCCATTAGGCTCTGTTAGGATAGTTACAAAGCTGGTAAACTTGTGTTTTAGCTGGAAAAGCTGAGGTAAATTTGATATTAACTTAGCTATATATGAATATGAATTTTATTTATTGTAAGATTTAGAAGTATAATTTTACATATTGCTAATGGAGAAGGAGCTTCTTTCTGTGTGTGTGTGTGTGTGTGTGTGTGTGTGTGTATCTGTCTCCTCTATCCCTTTTTAAATTTATTTCTTGTTAAAGCAGATTTTTTTCAATAATCATAGTAATTGAAAACTGTTTCCTTGAGGAAGAGGTTCCCTTGGTTATAATGAAGTTAAAATGACCTTTAGAAGTTCCCTTCCTCCCTTCTGAATCTTCCCCAGATAGAAGTTGATGTCAATAAATTAATAATCCCTAATAGATCATTTTTCTTGTGTTTTATTCTTTTCTTATTAATACTTATTTTCTGTTTTTAAAACTGTTCCATGGAAAGAGAGCCACTTACAGCTCCTTAGGCCATATGCCACTAGAATTCAAAGGGACCAATAAAGTATTCTCATCAGATTTCATAATGCATGAATTGTTGTATAGTGTCTTATAGGTGTTTATCCAACCTCAGCTAAATACTTGCAGATACAGGGAATGGATTGCTTTGGAAAATCACATTAGTGTTGAACTACTCTGATTATTCAGTTCAACACACAATTTTGCATGCTTAATGTGTAAGGCCATGGCCTAGCTGCTTTTAGGTATTTATCTGTATCCAAGATTTATATACTTGAAGCTTAGGTTGTCATATTTCTGCCTCTGGAAAGAAAATTAAAAAGTAAAAGTAAATCTCCCTCCGAGGCGCTTTCATAGCCACATATCTCCATATGTTTGTCATATGCTTCCATCTTTTGAAGTCATCTATTTAAATATAAACATTCGCTGATACGCAGGTGTCCTCAGATACCAGGTAGATGTTTTCAGCTATGAAGATTTTTCATGGAGAGATGTTGGCCTCTGCCTTCTTCATGGGTACAAGTAGCCCTTGGATTAATCATTTGTTTCTGGGTTATTGAGAAGGTAGTCTGGATAGAATGTATAAGCATCCCAGTTTATACCTTGATTATTGAGAAGGTAGTCGGAATAGAAGATATAAGCATTCCAATCCCAAGAAAAATATATCCCTATTTAAAAACAAATTTATAATTTAAAAAAATACATTGAATAATTAACAACTTGTTAACATTATTCCATATTGTGTTTCTTCAGGTAGAATTTGAAGAAATTTTTAATCGAAACGTCATGATTGTTGCGGCAACAAATAGACCTGATGTGTTAGATGATGCCTTGTTACGGCCTGGAAGGTTTGATAAGATGATTTATATTCCACCTCCAGATGAAAAGGTAATCATTGTACACACTTGCTCTGTGGGAACATTTTTTTTTCTTAATCATTTATTTATTTATTTTATTGATTATGGTCTCACATAATTGTCCTTATCCCCCTATTCCCATCCCAAACCCCTCCCTACATATGTCCCCAACCCCCTGTTGACTATGGCCACTGGTTAGGCCCATATGCATGCACACAAGTCCTTTGGTTGATCTCTTCTGTGGGAACATTCTTAACAACACATCAATATCTGAACCCTGAGGAGACTGACAGAACTGAATCCCAAACAGGATGTGGGTGTACATGGTATGTGTTGTACACTGGATTCTGCATTCTTCCTGCCTGGTAGCCCCTCATAAATCGCCCTTTCAATCTGCTTTTTTTTGGGGGGGAGGGTATTCCAGTGCTATTTTCAGAGAAATATAAACCTAAAAGTAAGGTAGTTACTTCGGTGAGTTTGGTGAGTCTACTTACCATTATTTTGCAACCAGAAAGGGGGAACCCTAAAGTGTTGTAAGGATTTTGGAGCTTATATGGGTCAGCATCATTGTTTTACAGTGGAGAAATCAGATTTTGAGATTACGTAGTGTATCCACTGCCAAAGAATGGTGAGTTCTTTGCCCTTAACATCCTAGGCAGGGAGTGGTGAAAGACACGGAGAAGGAATTTTTTTCCTTCCTTGGGCCTTTATCAAGTTTTGAAGAGATGAAAAAATTTTTAAAAAATGTTTGAAGTCTTATGTTTTTGAATTGTGTCTGACAGGTCATGTGTTTACTTTTAAACATGTCTGATGGCACTGCTTATACCCAAAAGAGAGATTCATCACGCCTCTTAAAGAGATATATCTGTGGTTGGCTATTTTAAAAATCTATAAAAATACTAAAATTTTATCATATTATTTTTACCATTGTCATATGAGCCATCGATAAGTTAATCGTTTTTACCTCTTCAGAAGTGATTCTTATTGTTTGATTCATACACACACACACACTCACTCACACGGTGTGTATGTATATATAAGGAAACTATAACTTAAAATGTTTTAATATAGTATCTATCAAACATAAACGTTATAAGGTTACAAACATATTATATTTTGTTCCAGGGCAGGCTTTCTATTTTGAAAGTCTGTACAAAAAACATGCCAGTGGGGCCTGATGTTTCTTTAGAAAACTTAGCAGCAGAAACCTGTTTTTTCTCTGGAGCTGATCTTGGAAACCTCTGCAAAGAAGTAAGTTAATTAGTGAAGAAATCTATGGTTCAGAACATGTCTTCCTTTATTCAGGTGTTCATTCACTCAGTATTTACTGAAAAACATCTCTGTGGCAGGCATTGGCAAGGTGAAACAGACAGATGCAGCCCCTTTCCTTATAGATCTTATGGACTGATGAGTAAGCAGAGGCAAACCATAATTTTAATTGGCAATTGAAAATATGTAGTGAGTTGGGGGAATTTAGGGTGCCATGGAAACATCTAGGAAGAACACTAGCCCAGATTGGGTGTCATAGAAGGCTTTCTGAGAGAGGGTATGTGTAAACTGAAATTGGGAGGATGATGAGGGAGTAGCAGGCTAAGGAGGGAAGGGCAGAGGGAATAAAATATGCAGATGATCGGAGATCAGTAATGACATTATTAAAGAGGTGGACAGTGGCTGGATCACTCAGGTCCTTATAAGCCACATTAAGGCATTTAGACTTTATTTTGAGGGCAAAAGAAGCCATTGTCCAGTGTTCTCTTTCCATGAATATTGTTGTTAATGTTTTAATTATTATTTTAATTTTGTTCAACTACAGTTTGCATTCGATATTACTAGTATTTTGTATTAGTTCCAGGTTAGACAATTATACTTTACAAAGTGGTCTTTTCAATATTTCCAGGGCACACCTGGCACCATAAATAGTTATTATAATATCATTAACTATATTTCTTGTGCTGTACTTTACATCCTATGACTAATTTGAAACTCTCAATTTGTACTGCTCAATCCCTTCACCTTTTCACCCAGTCCCCCAAAGCCCCTCCCCTCTGGCAACCCTCAGTATGTTCTCTGTATCTATGAGTCTATTTCAATTTTGTTCATTTATTTTGTTCTTTAGTCTGCATATAAGTGAAATCATATGGTATTTAATCTTTCTCTGCCTGATTTACTTCACTTAATATAATACCCTCTAGGTCCATCCATGTTGTCACAAATAGTAGGATTCTTTTTTATGGTTGAGTAATATTCCGCTCTATATGTACACTGCAGCTTTTTATCTACTTGTTTTCTGGATGGGCACTTGGATTATTCCTTACCTTGGCTATCTATATCTATAAAAGGCTAATATGCTGTGTCCGACTGGTCGCTGTGACACGCATTGACCACCAGGGGCAGATGCTCAGTGCAGGAGCTGTCGTGACATCTGCATTGGCCACTTACAGAGAAATGGCACTGTGGACCCACAAAGCAACCCTCGGCTTCCCCCAAATGGAACATAGGCCACCACTCTAGAGCCCTCCCACCAAATCGCAGCCTACATTGCCAAGACCCCATGGCGCAAAATGGGCCCACAGCCCAGCCTGGAAACAGTGACTGTGGGTGCTGGGTAATGACATCATGTAACAATGCCCACCTTCCTCTCCCTAGCTATTAGCCTCCTTGCAGTTTCTTCAGCCCAGGAACATGACTTGCTTTACAGCCAGGTGGAAACATTTTACAGTTTTAACCAAATGTCTGTGAAGTGTTTTCCCATGCCTCATGGCATTTGATCCTCACAGAAGTCTTGGAGTAGGTAGGTAGGAGACTCGGTGGAATCCTATTTTCTTTTCACTAGCCAGAAAACAGAGATTTAGAAAGTTTAGAAACTTGACCCGACTGAAAAGAAGTAATGGTGGAACTTGAAAATGACTTGAGGTTTTTCATGGCGCAGAATATAGTCAAACACTGCTGCAGTTAAATATTTTACCCTTAGCTCTCCCTGTGTGATCTACAATAATAATCTGCTTCATGTTCATATTTACCGCTGTATTGCTGACAATTACCTGAAAGAGAAGTTGGGGTGCCTCACTAGGCTGGAAAAAGTTTAGCTAAATCAGAAAGCAAATCTAAACAAGTTTATTCTATATTTATAAAAGGCTAAGTTGACTCGTGCATGCACGATATATATAAAGCTCATGCTGGCACCAATCACATGTGTGTGTTTCGATCTGTCATTGTTGATTGTGAATTTGGATGACACTTCTGTTATAGAGAAAGGGCGAATAGCAACATTAAAATATTTCTTCTAATTAATTTCCTTTCATTGTGCACAAATTCGCACACAGGCCACTAGTTATAAATAACGTTACAAGGGACATAGGGGTGCATATATTCTTTCCATAAACTTCTATAGAAGATGCACAGATCATAAGGATACAGTTCATTGAGTTAACATAAAGTGAACACACTTGTATATCCACCAGAATTATTAAGAAATAATATTACCCACTTCCCAGAAACCTTTTGTGGGCCTTCCCACTCTCTATCTCTAAGGAAATCACTCCTGAACATTTAGGTTACTGCTATTTTGCTATTGTGAACTATACTGCTATGAACAATCTTGGATATGTCTATTGGTGTGTGTGTGTGTGTGTGTGTGTGTGTGTGTTTCATGTATGTATATATCTACAAAGAGGATTGTTGGGCCATGAAGTATGTATTTATCTGTTCCTTTATGGCCAGTGCTGTGTCCTGTTTAGAAACGCCTAGTCTGAGGTCAGGAGGGTAGTCTTCCATCTTTTAAGTATGTATATGGGCTCATAATGTATATGTTATTCTGCAACTTGTTTTTTTTTCTTTTTCTTCTTTAAGGCCAGAGTTTAATGTAGAAGAAAAGTTCTAAGAGGACTTTCAATCATTAACTTTTTAGTTTAAGGTTCTTATTGTCATGAATACAGGAATTCTATGAAATACGACAGATTTTTGCATTTAGACTTTATATATTATAAAACAAAAACGAAGCAAATCATCTCTTATTGTCTCTCATAGGCTGCCTTGCTGGCTCTGCAAGAAGATGGACTAGATGCAACCACAGTGAAACAGGAGCACTTTCTAAAATCACTTAAGACTGTAAAACCATCCTTAACTCACAAGGATTTGACTTTATATAAAAACTTATTTCAGAAACAAGGATTTTCTAACTTAGAGGATATTTAAAAATTACATACCTGCTCAAGGATTAATTGAAATGTGAACTTGCATTATAGTTTGCAACTTCACTTTTAGGGTTTGTATATATGGTATTTCCTGTAAATAAAAAAAAACAAACTATCTTGTGCTAGATAAGCTAAGATTCATCTTAGTTCTAAAAGGTATATTAAAATACCATAATTCATAAAGAAAGTATATGTATTGTGTTGATTTTGTAGTGGGGTGGTTGTTTTTGTTTGTGTTTAGATTGATTGCTTTTTTAACTTTATTTTGAAATAATTTCATACAGAAAAGTTGCAAGAATAGCACAAACAACGCATATTCTTAATCCATATTCACCATTTTTTAACATTTTGCTATATGCTGAACAGACATACCTCATTTTTATTGCACCTCGCTTTATTATGCTCCCAAGATGATGCATTATTTACAAATTGAAGGCAAGACCCTCCACCAGGAAAAAGATTTACAATTCGCTTTATTACGATATTTTATTGCAGTGGTCTGGAACCGAATCTGAAGTATATCTGAGGTATGCCTGTATCTAAGAATACATATTATACCTAAAGCCCCTTCACCCCCTTAATAACTCAGTGCATATTTCTTATAAATAAAGTCTTTTCTTATATGACCACAGTGCATTTATCAAATTCAGAAAATTGAACTATTGACCCATGATTTTCCTCCATTGTGCCAAGTAGTCATTTTTTCCCATTAAAGGATCCTGTCTAGGACCTATACTCCACTTAGTTGTCCTCTCTCTTTACTCTTTTTTTTCTCATATATATATACACACACACACACACACACACACACACACACATATTATTGATTTCAGAGATGAAGGGAAAGGGACAGAGAGAAACATCAATTATGAGAGAGAATCATTGATTGGCTACATCCTCCACACCCCTACTGGGGATGGAGCCTGCAACCCAGGTGCCGTGACCAGGAATCAAACCAGCAACCTCCTGGTTCATAGGTAGATGCTCAACCATTGAGCCATGTCAGCTGGGCTGTTTCTTTACTCTTTAGCCTCTTTTAATCTGAAAAAGTTCCTCAGTCTTTCTTGACCTTGGAGTTTTTTGAAGAGTACAAATTATTTTCTAGAACAGTGCTTCCTGATCTGTATTTGTCTGATATGGCACCATGATAGATTTAGGCTCTGCCTTACCAGTGAGCAGTATATAAGTGCTGTGTCCTCAGAGATCACGTTAATTTTGACGGCTTTTTTATGGAATTGTTCATTTTCTCCACTGTATAGCTATTGTGTTTTCTTTTTTAAATATTTTTAAGGAGGTAAATTACATATATATCTTTATTTTCCATTATTATGAAAGCAGTTAGAATGCCAGAAAATACAGATGAACACACTTGGTATTTAACCTTCTAGTTCCTTATGTATGCAGAGATAAGACATGGTTTACTATGTAACTTGTTTTTCTCATCTAACAATATCAGGTAAGCATCTCACTGAGCCTTTCTTCACAAGTATACGCAAATGAGACAGACATGGCACTAATAGGATAGCTGGGAGCATGGGTCTCAGGCAAATCATGCAGGAAATTACATACAACCAAAAAGAGTTAAGGGTCTGATCAGAGCGTAGTGCATGAAATATATGAAGTCATAAATGTTAAGTTGGAAAATTTTCTACTTCTGACTGAAGCCAGGACACATTGACTAAGACAAACCTCACTATTTGGGGAATAATTATTTATAGGTATATAATTCATCTAAGTTATTCTAACAACATGACCCCTCAACTTTTGAGTAGTAGGGGAAATAGCTAGGAAACTTAGAATTCTGACAGCTTTCAATCATATTCTCCATCAATATTGGTTTTATAGGACAAGGCAGCATTGAGCCTTTGCATCCCTAGGCTGAGCACCCTGGCTGGAACCCCTCCCTCAGGCTGTAGCTGGAGGCCCCTTGATTGTTTCCTAGAAAAGGTTTCCAGTTGTCACTCTGGAAGTCTAGTATCCATACTTTGATTCGAAGCTGAATTTTGATGTGAAAACGTTTCATCAGAACTTTGGAAGCCCCTGACGACAAAAGCCATGTGTTTTCTCATTAAAATACTTAATAATCCGAAACTGGTTTGGCTCCGTGGATAGAGCGTCAGCCTGTAGCCTGAAAGGTCTCAGGTTCGATTCCAGTCAAGAGCATGTACCTTGGTTGCGGGCACATCCCTAGTAAGAAGTGTGCAGGATGCAGCTGGTTGATGTTTCTAACTCTATCCCTCTCTCTTCCTCTCTGTAAAAAGTCAATAAAATATATATTTAAAAAATCTATTACCTATTTAAAAAAATAAAGTAAATGATGTCAGATCAAGGATTTCTTTGACTCTGTTTCCCCCCCAAGTTTAATGGGGAAATATTGGTTAGTAACAAATTTCAGGTGTACACCTTTATAAAACATCTGTATTGTGTGCTCACCACAGAAGTCCAGTCCCCTGCCACCATATATTTACCCTCTTCATCCTCCCCCACCTCACTTTCCCATTGGTTACCACCACCCATCTGTTGGCTGTGACTCTGTTTTAATCTGATGTGAGAGTGGCTCTGGACAGCTTCCAAAAGTTGTTCTTAATTGCTGAGAAAATTAAAATACTTCAGTTTCTAAGCACCTGGGAAGTATCATTAGCTTTCCCTGTGCATTGAGCAAAGACACCACATTAATAGCCTCAGAAAAAAGGTACACCCCCCCAGACCTGCCAAAATTGAGCAAATCCAATATTTGCTAAACCTGGTAATTAGGTATGCACTGATGGGTAGGCAGAATTAATTTTAACAAGACGTATTTAATAAAGAATATTTTTCTTACAAAGCCTGAGCTGGGCTGACTACAATCTAATTCCTGGCATGTGGGAACCAAGCAGTCACAGTTCCACGTCCCTGAAAGCCTGGGTGGCGGCAGCCGGAGTAGGTACTCAAAGTTTCTGTCGGGGAGGGGAAGCTCCCTTGAGGGGATGATGGGCTTTGGGCAGCCACAGAGGATGAAGTGTCCTGAGTGGGTTCCTTTGGGGTTTGAAAGGTGGGAGCTGTACCTGCTAGTGTCATCCAGGGGAAGACCAAATTCCGTACTGACCTTGCATCTCCCACAAGTTCATCCATTTGGGCATTCACTGAAGGGGGAAATGTGGCTTTCTGGGTGTAATTCTAATTTAGCTGCCTCTGGCTCTGCAGCTCCTTTTCCGCATCCCTTTTTGGAGCGCCGGTTTTCTCCCAGGCCCTGGCCAGCAGCGGTCCCCTGGTTCTCCGTTCCACCCGCGGGGCGCCCGGAGCGCCAACACCCAGCCAAGGCAGGCGCGGACGGCGGGTAATGATCGCGGCGAACGGTAGGGGGCGCCCGCGCCCGCATTCGGCCGCGCAGGGTCTGCGCGCGCGGCGTCCTGCAGGGGGCGCCCTCGCGCCGGGCGCCGAGCGGGGGGGAAAGCGAGTCAGGTCCCGCACGTCCCCGACCCGCCCCGTGACCAGACGCCGCGCGCGGCCCTTCCGGGCGGCCGTGGTCAGCTTATAAGGAGCGCGGCCGCCGGGAGGTCGTCGGCCGTCAGCATCCTCCGCGCGCCCCGCCCGCAGGTGAGCCCCCGGCGGAGGCGCTGCCCGGCGAGTCCGTTGGATCCGTTGGCGCCCGCAGTTTGGTCCCAGGGGCTGAAATTTGATCAACATCTTGGATTGTTTATTTTCTTTATTTCCTTACTCTAGATTTGGCATTCTACACCGCGGTCATCATGAGCATTTTCCGAATCCTGATGAAAAAGAAGGAAGTAAGTATTTAAAGCAACTGAAAAGTCTTGACTGAAATGTTTGATTTCTAAAGACCAAGCGTCAGGATTTACCCTGAACTTAATCCATTCAATGTTCTCTGTTAGCTCATTCCTTTGGCGCTGATCATGACGGTGGCAGCGAGCGGGGCGTCATCCTTTGCTGTGTATTCCCTGAACAAAAAGTCCGATGTGATGTAAGTAGACATCATTCGTAGAAACGTTTTTAGAAATGTTTAGGGTGGCCTTCCGTTTATGAAACGTATGATATCAATCCCCCCCGCAAAACAGTCCTGCGGAGAAGGTGGTCGGGGCTGGAAAGCATCCTGGTATCAGACGACTTTAAATTATGGTATTTATAAAACTAGTTTGTTCCTTGATTCTAAATGTCCTTTTATCCACTGGCATGCCCTCTTCTCCTGCAGCAAAGTTTGATTTTAAAAAAAAATTAAATTTTGACATTTAAATGGTCTTTTGGGATATCAAACTTAGGTCATTTTAAATGAAAATTTTAAAATGTTCAGTTTACTAAAAACAATAAAATAAAATTTCAGCGTACTAGAAAGATCTCTCCTAAGTTGGTAGACTTAGTTGTTTGCAATGGCCCTAATCTCAGCTGAGGACATAATAAGGTGAAACACCGTGCGTCCTGGAATGTGAGGAAGAGAGAAACTTGAAGCTGAGCTCGCAGGGCGAGAAAGGGCGGCTCTGGAAGAGGGACCCGGGTGCCCGCAGTTCTCCGCCTGCAGAGGTCAAGCCCAGCCCTTCGGTTGGTCCTGGGGGCAAGGACATGTGTGCGTCCTCTTAGCCGGGACGTCCACCCCTGGTGCTGTTCTGCTTGGGAGAGCTTTCTCCAATCGAACGCAACCCAGACCTCCTGACCTGCAGACAATCCCTCATGTCTGAGCCGAACCGCGAAGCGCCTCTAAGGGATCTTCCGTCAAGTGCAGTTAACATTTGAAAGCCTTAGCATGCAACCTGGATCTGTCCCTAGCATGTGTACAGACCCGATATCAGAGTTGGTTTAAATTCATCTACGTTAACATTTAATCAGCTGTCTTTTGTGTGTAGCATTGATCGGAAGAGAAATCCAGAACCTTGGGAAAATGTGGATCCCACTGTGCCTAGAAAGGTATTGCTGAATTTAAAGTGATTTACATTTAGCCAAGCCTTAGCATCATTGTCAGCAAAATAGATTTATACCTTTCACTTTTAGGGTGCCATTTGGTGTATGTAGTGTTAAAGAGTGTTACAGAGTTGTAGAGATCTAGTTCAGACCCTTGCTCATTATTCACAGGCAATTTTATTTTTAAATATATATATATATATATATATATATATATATATATATATATATATATATATATATATATTTCAGAAAGCAGAAGGGAGAGGGAGATAGGAACATCAATGATTAGAGAGAATCACTGACCGGCTGCCTCCTGCACACCCCCTACTAGGGGCGGAGCCCACAATCCAGGCATAGTCTTTGACTGGGAATCAAACCGTAACTTGGTTCATGGGTCGCCGCTCAACCACTGGGCCACACAAGCTGAGCTTCACAGGTGATTTAGACAACTTGGCCTCTCTGAGGCTCTCAGTCTATAAAATGGGTACAATAACAGGGTTAAGAGGGTTAAAGAAGATAAAATACAGAGAGTCCTTTAGCACCATGCCCGGCCTCAAATATTAATATCTCATTTTCTCCATTATTTATCTACAGTTAATATAAGGTCTATTATGGCTCATTCCAGGAGTTCTGAAAATAGAAGTTGCATTTTAAGCAAAAGTAGCTAATATTCACCTTTTTGAGACTACTGCAAATGTTATTTTAAATATTTTGGAAATGAGAAGCATTTAGTCTGTTAGATTGAAACTATTTCAGTTTGTCGGGAAAGCTATTTTATTTTTAAACAAAACTTTCAAATAACTCAGTTTGACCCGGTGAGGACACTTAGGATCTTTTAAAACTACCGACACCGCCTCGGTCCTGAGGGAATAGAAAAAGTATGAGGGTAAATGAGAATCTCTGAATGTGAGTCTTTAACTGAGGAATTACAGTGAGGAAACTGCCACACCCTGTGCGGGGAGCAATACAGCCACACCCGGAGCAGACTACTCCGCACACTCAGAAAACCATGGGCGATTTAAAAATCTAGATCCCAAATGGAAGGGGGCGGAGGGAAAGGCCTTTCTCTCTGATCCTGTAACTCACGAACCCAAGGGCTTTTGGAGGGTTAGTGTGACAGAAACCAGCCCATGTTACTGTATTGTCCATGCTTTAGAGATGGGAAAAGGAGGTGATTGTTTGGCTACAAATGCTAAGATGATGCTTTTTCTAAAGAGGAGTATGGACAAATCCCAAAGGGAGGTGTAGGATGAAGGACAGAACCTAACGAAATGCTTTATTTTGCTTTTTTATTTAAGCTTATAACAATCAACCAACAATGGAAACCCATTGAAGAGTTGCAGAAGGTCCGAAGGGCAACCAGATGACCAGTCCTGGCCTCTCTCTGCCACAGAGTGCTCCGTGAATCTAGCGGAAACACTTTGCACAAACAGGATTATGAATCCAGTGTGCAGACATGCTTCTGCTACGTTTCTAAGGCTTGCCTACATTTTTGGGCTCTGAATAAGGAATTATAAGTTGGTGCAGCAATAACCACAGTCTAAAAAAATAAATTTCTTATTGTAAATTTGAATTTTGAAATATTTATGTTTATGATGCTTGAATGTTTTGACATGTATAAAGATTCATAAATTTTATTATCTATAATAAAATACCATTTGTATAAGATTTCTTAAAGGTTAGATACCTATTTAAATAGAGAAAAAAGTCTTATGGGAGAAAGAAACATTTTAAAGCATAGATCATTTTTAAAATTAATATGCAGCACACATTTCTGTATAAACTTTTATTCATCTACTAGACATTTATTACACACCTGCTGTTAGCTGGGCACCTTTTATTTTTTATTTTTTTTAAGTAACTATATCTTTTAAATTAAATTATTATCTGTGTACATATTTTAACATTGCCCCTCCTTTCATAAATACCCTCCCTCCCCAGAGTTTTGTGTCCATTGGTTGTACTTATATGCATGTATACAAGTCCTTCGGTTGATCTCTTACCTCCCCCAGATCTCCCTACCATCCCCGCTGTAATTTGACAGTCTGCTTGTTGCTTTATTGTCTTTATATCTGACTTTTGGTTCATCAGTTTATAATGTTCTTTAATATCCATAAATGAGTGAGGTCATGTGGTGTTTCTCTTTCATTGACTGGCTTATTTCACTCAGCATGATGTTCTCTAGATCTATCCAGGTTGCTGCAAATGATGAGAATTCCTTCTTTTTTATGGCAGCATAGTATTCCATTGTGTAGATGTACCAAAGTTTTTTGATCCAATCATCTGCTGACGGGCATCTAGGCTGTTTCCAGATTCTAGCTATTGTAGATTGTGCTGCTATGAACATAGGGGTGCATATTTCCTTTCTGATTGGTGTTTCTAGTTTCTTGGGATATATTCCTAGGAGTGGGATTACTGGGTCAAATGGGAGTTCCATTTTCAGTTTTTTGAGGAAACTCCACACAGTTTTTTGAGGAAACTCCACAGTGGTTGCACCAGTCTGCATTCCCACCAGCAGTGCACGAGGGTTCCTTTTTCTCCGCAACCTCGCCAACACTTGTCGTTTGTTGATTTGTTGATGTTGGCCATTCTGACAGGTGTGAGATGGTACCTCATTGTTGTTTTGATTTGCATCTCTCAGATAAATAGTGACTTTGAGCATGTTTTCATGTGCCTTTTGGCCTTCCTTCTGTCTTCTTTTGAAAATATTCTATTTAGGTCCATTGCCCATTTTTTAATTGGATCATTCATCTTCCTTTTATTTAGTTGTTTGTAGATGTAGCTGGGTACATTAGACTATAATAAGCTACATTACGTGTTAGGCAAAGCTGTGAAGTTGGGTACATTAGACTATAATAAGCTTTGTTCATTATACATCACAGCTTTGACTAACATTGCCTAACACGTAAGGCAATGAACAAAACCCAATACTGAAGGGAGATGAATAGAAGATGGTGACTAGAGTGAGGGACAGTGAAGAAGAGATGGGGTGTGAGACGCACACGAAGACTCTCCTGGGGTTCTGGGGGAGGAGTGGGAACGTGGGGTCTGCTGAGACTGGCCCTGGGATGACCCTGTGAGGGTGGTGGGGAGGAGGGTGCACAGCACCCTGCAGATCCTGGGGCCCCTTTACTCCGGCCAGTGGTGACTTGGAGACCAAAGGAGCCATCAAACCTAGCGTGCCCTTGGGTTCCCCTCTGAGTGTTCCATAAAATTGCTTTATGTCAACTTTTAAAAAATACAATTAAGATATAATTCACATACCATAGTATTCATCCATTTAAAGTCACAATTCAGTGTTTTTTAATATATTCACAAAGTTTTACCACCACCTCCACCATCTAATTCCAGAACATTTTTATCACCCCCAGAAGAACCCTCTGCTCATTAGCAACAATTCTCTATTCCTGACCCCTCCGTCCCTAGCTCAGGCAAACACTAATACACTCTCTATTCTCGCCATTTTATGTGAATGAAATTACACATTAGGTGGTCTTTGTGTCTGGTTTCTTTAACTTAGCATAATACTTTCATCTGTGTTGTATCATGTATCAGTATTTAATTCCTTTCTAAGACTAATGTCCCACTGTTTATCCATCAGTTGATGGAAATTGGTATTCTCTTTTTGGCTGTTATAAATAATGCTGCTGTGAATAGCCATGTACAAGATTTTGTGTAGCCATGTTTTCTGTTTCTGTTTGTTTGATTTTTCTTTTTTTGTTTTTGTAGCCATATATTTTCAATTCTGTTGGGTACATTAGACTATAATAAAATAGGTTCATTAATTATTTTTAACATTTTTTTGTTGATTTCAGGAAGGAAGAGGGAGAGAGAGATGGAAACATCAATGATGAGAGAGAACCATTGATTGGCTGCCTCCTGTATGCCTGCTCCTGGGGATCGAGTCCATAATCCAGCATGTGTTCTGACTGGGAATTAAACCACGACCTTTGAGCTATACCTGCCGAGCAATCACTAACTATATTAAATAAAGATGATAAATTATTTTTTTCTTAACTTCCCTTTGAATATAATAGAAATTTAAGAGAAGGGCTAAATTTTTATCAACTTCACAGCAAAATTAACTAGCTCTTGTTAGAGACTTGGGAATTCTGAAAGGACTAAAGCAAAACTACTTCCACCAACCTTTCTTGCTTTCTTATCACTGAAAACTTTCCCAGGTGAAAATCTCCAATGGTTGATCTCAAGGAATTACAGTTACCAATTAGGAAGCACACTTTTATTTGCTTAAGCTTCTCAAGTATGATATGATACCATTTAGGCAAATAAAAACCAACAGTTGTGATGGTTGCTCAACTAGGAGAGCAAATTTGTGAGGGATGACTGTGCCTTTCAGATTTCAAAAGATTTATTTTAATTTTGGTTGTGTTCTTAGCATTTTCCCTGAATGTCTTATTTGGAAAAATTTTCAAATATGCAGAGATGAACAATTGGTACAAAGAATACTCTCTCTCTCTCTCTCTCTCTCTCTCTCTCTCTCTCTCTCTCTCTTATCAGTTAACATTTTCCCACATTTTATGTATCTCTGTATATTATGCTCTTCTATTTACTTATTTTTAATTGACTTCAGAGAGGGAAAAGGAGAGAAAGAGAAACATCAATGATGAGAGGGAATTATTGATTGGCTGCCTCTTGCATGCCCCCTACTGAGGATTGAGCTTGCAATCCAGGCATGTACCCTTGACTCAAATTTCACCTGGGACCCTTCAGTCCGCAGGCCAACACTCCATCTACTGAGCCAAACCCGCTAGGGCTATATTATGTTCTTTAAAAATGAATTATTTGAAAATAAGTTACATCATAAAGCTTTTTATGTCTAAAAGAAAGGACATCCTGGCTGACTAATGCCATTATCATTTCTAAGAAACTGAACATTATTTCAATAGTATCACCTAACCTATAACCCATTTCCGTTTTCTCTAATTGCAATGTCCTTTGTGACTGTACTTTTCAGTCTGTAATCCAACTCGGGGTTCAGTTGCCTCATTTGGTTGTTAGGTGGTTGTACTGAATACGCACGCAATAAACACATGGTCACAAAAATGGCTTCAAAGAATCTTGTGTTGAAATGCTCTCTTTCGAGTTTCATCTGGATAAGATTCTCTTGGATTGTGGACTTTGAACTTTACAAATTTTCATGTAATTTAAATAAGTACAATTATTGAGCATTCACTATGGGGCAGGCCTTGTGCTGGCCTCAAGGATCTGGCATAGGAAAAGGAGACACCTACAAGCAAAGCTATGCAGTGACCGTGAAGCAAAGATAGAGGTGAGCACAAGGCGCAAAGGGAGGCTTCTTGAGGAAGATGGACCCTCAGGACCAGCCAGTCTAGTTTCTTGAAAAGGCAATAATTAGAAGTCAACAAGACAATGGTGAGCGCCGCACTGACCGAGACACTGGCAGAAGGAGAAGAGAAAAAAAGGATGCATTTAGAGCGATTGATGAGAAGACTTCCAGGCTTACTGGATCTATCTTGGGGAAGTCCAACATGACTCCGAGATTTCTCACCTGATTCGTTGGGCAGGTGGTGGTGCCAAGACAAAGAATACAGGAGGAAGAAGGAACGGAATGCTTAGGGAAGGGTGGACCAGGAAGAAAATGAACGAGACTCTGGAATAGTTGTGTCAGAGAGCTCAACGAGCTACCTAGGCAAATTACTTCTGGAGAAGTGCATAGGTGTGAGCTGCAGGTGGTTTGAGTGGTGGTGAAGCCAAGGGCATACAAGAGATCGCCGACGGAGGGAGAGAGCATCGGAAGTGAAGACTGAACAGAGAGGAGCGTCGTCATGAAGGACGGGGCAGAGGAAGAGGATCTGGGCCCTGATGGGAGTTGAGAGAGACGGTTAGGGAAGGAGCCCAGAGAGGAAGGGCTCTTCCCTGTCAGCGGATTGTTCGTTCACAATTAGACCCATTCAGCTTGATGGCCTTGAGCCTTGAGCAGACATCTCTAAGTCTCTCTCACATAAGATGTAAAGTAAGCTTTCTGAATAAAAAAAAAGTTAAAATCATATTACATATCACTAAAAACTGGAGTGAGGTCTACTTACTTATTCATCACATTTTAGTTGAGACTGTGGTAGAGAATGAAATTACAGGCTCTGAAATCAGACCTCTGTCACCCATGCTCTTTCTACCTAGGTTGCTTTGGACAAGGCTCAGATTCCTCATCTGTAAAATTGATTTAGTTTGTCCCTAACTGGTTTGGCTCAGTAGATAGAGCGTTGGCCTGTGAACTGAAGGGTTCCAGGTTTAATTCCAGTCAAGGGCATATGCCCAGTTGTGTGCTCAATCCCCAATAGAGGGTGTGCAGAAGGCAGCCAATCAGATTCTCTCTTATCATTGATGT